AGGCATGAGCTGCCACATCGTCTTTTAGAATTTGTTTAGCAGTTTTTCTGGCTTTTACCAGAAAACTTTTCATGAACAAAGAAAAAGGGCTCTGGCTACAGAGCAGGGGGTTCATACTGGCATAGGAAGCACTGGCAGGGAGAGGCCTGTTTGAAGGTTAGACATTATCTAAGGACCCTGATGAAGAACATCTGGCGTTAGTGCCATTCGTTCTGAAAAGTCTGTGACGTTCCCAACTCGTCTATTAATACCTGAGAGACTTCTTTTTGGGGATCAAGTGCCCTCAACTAGAATGAAGTACTGAAGCAGAAATATCCACACTGGCCTCAACCTGTAATCCCAGCACTTTGGAGGCCAAGGAGGGCAATCTCTAGAACCCAGGAGTTTGAGACCAGCAACATGGTGAAACCCTGTCTCTCCAAAAAATACAAAAATTAGCTAGGCACGGTGGTGCATGCCTGTAGTCCCAGCTGCTCAGGAGGCTGAGGTGGGAGAATCACTTGAGCCCAGGAGGTTGAAGCTACAGTGAGCTGAGATTGTGCCACTGTACTCCAGCCTGGTCAACACAGTGAGACAAAAAAAAGAAAAAGAAAAAGGAAAGAAAGAAAAGAAAAAGAAAGCAAAAATCCAGCAACCCAGGGAAAGGGTAGGCCCTTGATATTTATTGTCTAGGATTTTTTGCACATCTAGTTTGTCATAATCTACCTCATACCCAAAGAAGCTAATTTTACTTCTATTTGTGGATTTATTATTATGTGGCTGGCCTCATGCTCCCCGAAAGAAACCTGAGCAGAAGGGAAGGGAAGTAACATGCGAAGTGGCTTATGAGTTATCTCTTTTGACCTCATTCAATCTTGGGGGTTAGGTATCCTGTGGAAACTGAGGCTTTGGTCAGTGACTGATTCCTCAACAAGTAGTGAGAGGCTTCTAGTCTATGACTATCTCGCTGGGAAGTCTGTGCTCTTTTCTCTGCCTCTCTGCAAATGTGGAATCCTCCTCCTCTTCAGTTTAAGCTTCCAGGACACTTACATTTCCCACTCACTCCTCCAGTCACCAGACCCATGTTCAAGAAAAACAACTTGTAAGGTATGTTTTTATTTTACAAAAAAAAAAAAAAAAAAGTGACATGCAATACCCATCCCCTAACAAACTATTACCGCTTGGAATACAGAGTAAAAAGGAAATCCAACCGGTCCTGAAGAGACAAAAATTCAATTTCACAAAGCTGAAAAAATCTGTTACAAACTCTCTGTTGTGTAAATATAGTCAGTCTTATCTTTAATGTAGTCAGACAAAAAAATGTTTGTTGGTATAAAAAAAAAAAAAATCCCTGCTGCTTGAATACACCACAATCTTCATTTGTATTCCCAGCCAGATACAGGTGATGACTATGGGATGAGAGTTACTGCATGTTCCAGGACTCAGAGTAACCAAATGAGATTTAAACATTTTATCTCACCCCCTCTAGCAACAGCCTAGACAGACCAATATAGCCCTGGGTCAAGGACTAATGCCTTTGTTCAGAGAAAACTGAACATGTAGGCCAGATGCGGTGGCTCATGCCTGTAATCCCAGCACTTTGGGAGGCCGAGGTGGGTGGATCACTTGAGCCCAGGAGTTAGAGACCAGCATGGCCAACATGGTGAAACCCTGTCTCTACTAAAACCACAAAAATTAGTTGGGCGTGGTGGCACACACTTGTAATCTCAGCTACCGGGGAGGCTGAGGAGGGAGGATCACTTGAACCCCAGGACAGGGAGGCTGCAGTGAGCTGAGATCATGCCACTGCACTCCAGCCTGGGCAACAGAGCAAAGACTCTGTCTCAAAAAAAAAAAAAAAAAAGAAAAGGAAATTAAACATGTCTTTATTCTCAAATGGGTGCACAACTCTGTGAGTATGCTAAAAGCCATTGAATCCTATGTTTTAAAGTTGAATTGTTTGATATGTGAATTAGATCTCAATAAAGCTGTTAAAAATATATGACATGTCCAACTTGCTAGGGGAGCAACAGGTATCCCTGGTAGCATAACTCAGGAGTTCCTGACAGGTCACGGGGCAGACCTGTAGAAGTCAGCACAGTAAGGGGTAGTAAAAAGGAGCTCCTTGCCGGGTGTGGTGGCTCAAACTCATAATCCCAGCACTTTGGGAGGCGGAGGCGGGCAGATGACCTGAGGTCAGGAGTTCGAGACTAGCCTGGCCAGCATGGTGAAATTCCATCTCTACTAAAAATACAAAAATTAACCAGGTGTGGTGGCGGGCACCTGCAGTCCCAACTACTCGGGAGGCTGAGGCAGGAGAATCGCTTGAACTCAGGAGGTAGAGGTTGCAGTGAGCCAAGATTGTGTCATTGCACCACAGCCTGGGTGACAAGAGTTAAACTCTGTCAAAAACTAAAAAAAAAAAAAAAAAAAAAGGAGCTACTTAAAGTATTATGGCTAAAATTAGTGGAGTCAGAATAAAGAAGTCAAAAGCATATGCACTTTTTCCTACTGTTCCCAGAATAGTCTAAGGGCTGTGTGTGGCCTTTGTCACAAAAGAAAGCTGTTCAGTGAGATGGCACATGTCCGGGTATTGCTGAGGCTACAGCAGATTTTAGGCTGGAGCTCAGGAGCTGCATATCTGCATCTACACAGGGGGAATTCCAACATGGACACAGGTTCTGAGAGCCTGACTCCTGCAAAAGGAGGGAGAATTTGGATACCTAAGGAAAAACTGGATTTATTAGACCAAAGGGACTCCCTGCCATCACCAACACTGTTGATGGCCAGAGGCCACAGCATGGTTCTTGTTCTCATTGACTCTTAGAAAGCCATCGCCAGGGCAGCAGTGGCTAATCAGATGAGCAACCCATTTTGTGGCAGACAAATCACTTGCAAATGCCATCCCCTTTCTGTATCTACCATCTGGTCACCAAATGGCCACTGGAGAAAGGGCACAGGCACAAATCACGGTCAACTGGGGCTTGACCAAGGGAAGGTCACCCTATCCTGATAGTGGAGACAGAATTACCAGTAGAAGAAAAAAGAAGGTAATTTAAAGTCTTGCTCTGGTTTTACCCGTTCTAGGTACTTAAAAGTTCATTGATAATAGTTGGCAGAAAATTGAGGAAAAATGGGCATAGAAGACACCTACTCTACTCACCTTTCAGAAGGGATGTTGCCAGAAATGGAACCAGAAGTCTCTTTAGTTTTTTAGAACAAAAAGCAAATGAGAATGAAAAAAAAAAAAGAAAGGGCTTGAAAGTGAGAAGTATCCCAGCTTGATGAACACCTTGTTTATTTTTTAATTTTTTAGAGACAGGGTCTCACTATGTTGCCCAGGCTGGTCTTGAACTCCTGAGCTCAAGGGACCATCCTGCCGTGGGTTTCCAGGTGTGAGCCACCGTGCTGGGCCCAGTGAGCATCTTTAAACTCTCCTAGCCTTCCTTCCTTGAAAACTGGTCTGATTCTGCTGCTGGGGTATGGGCCTGGGATTTAGTTCCATTTTCGGCTAGCCTAGACATTTATTCTGTGCCTGAGCAGATGGGTTAAGCTTAGAAGCAGACATCACAGCTACCTCAGGCCACTGTCATTATGGGCTGGATCCCCTAAAAGTGCCCCATTAAAATCTTGGCCTCCCTGTGCTCTTTTCAAATAAGAGACCCCTGTTCCATAATATGACCTAAACTTCTAGGATGGAGGCACTCAAGGATGGGGAATTTTCCTCACTGACAGGGGTTTGCCATCTCTGTGGGTAAATCCAATAGAGGAAAAGGATGGAACATCTGGGTTCGGGGCTGACCTGGATTCTTTTCAGGGTCATAGAGTGATAGTGGGAGGTTTAAAATAAATAGGGAGGATGCTTCCACCAAGGCTTTGGCCATTTTCTTTCTTTCTTTCTTTCTTTTTTTTTTTTTTT